CATGCCCTTTGTGGCAGGTGTACACAACTTGTGACCCAAAGACAAAATCGTCTCCCTTCTCCAGTTGAAAATCTGCAAACTGCGCATCGCCGGGATGACCGCATGATCTCGCTTAAAACATACATGAGAGAGAACATCAGCACTGCAGTCAAACACACACTGGCCTGCATCGCAGTGGTGAGACAGATGGGTCTTCCACTCAGTGATAATGCACTGAGATGTAATGTATCATCATATTATTAATTCAACAATAATAATAATACAAGTTTGGCCTGCTTTAGTATGGATCACAACGCTGTAACTTTAACAGAAGTTAAACCGACACATTTTTAATCGTAGATAATGCCAGAATAAATACTGATTTCAGAATAGTAATAGATGTAACTTACGTTGACATTTCGTGCCCTTGGGCTCCCAGTTTCCATTTTCACACGACAGTTTGAAAAAGCCACTGAAGCCAATATTGCAGTTCACTCTTACTTGTTTTTTATCAGCGTAGCTGGCCTGCATACTGGTGGTGTCAAAATTTGAATCATAATGGGGGCCATTTACAAACTGTTCAAGTGTACAATCTGGTGGGCAGCAATAAACAAAAATAAATATAAACAACTTTCCATGTTTGACAATAAACTAAATGGTAAGATAAAAAAAAAATTGAAATTACTTGTCTTACCTTGACTTTTTACAAAGGTCAGTATATGTATCCACAAATACAACACGCAGCTTCGGGTTAAAATGTGCATTTTATCCTCTTCACCCTGACTCGCGGAACATTAGTTGAGACTGGATCGAAACACTGTCAGACACAGAGCGAGCTGTGGAGCTCACAGGCAAACAGAGTCAGTGACTTGCGCAAGTCTGTTCCAGCCTCCAGATATCTCAGTTTCACAGCGAACAGAAGCAAAGTGACCAGATAGATGCACACGCCCCCCCCCCGAAACACAGGATCCTTAACAAGCCCTTAAAAAGACCAAGATGTTTTCTTCACATTAACACCTCCAACTGTAAGATGTATATTTCAGAAGCAGCTCAGTGAGTCACGCACCTTTTATTAATTTTATTTTTAGAATTCAGTATTATTCAAACAGATTTTTTTGCCTTCATGCCCCTGTGTAGCTTTGCTATGTTTACCATTCAGTGACACAACAAGAGCATTCCTGTAAAAGTTTATTTGTTCCTCCCTTTCTTTCCTGGTAATCATTCATAGCAATCAATAGAGCAAACAGTGAGTCAACTCGCTCGTCTCATCTAAAGTCCATTTAAAATAAAAACAAGCAAAGTAATATATCAGCACAAAACTACATCAAAAATATGGCACTTATTTTGAAAAATGGGAAGCCAACCTGTTTTTAGTGTGAACAAGTGTCACATTTTAGGATACACATATGGACACAGCTTAACAAACATGTGTCTGTCGATGGCCTTGTCAGGTGAAAACAGTTGCCAAAGAATCTTGGAAACAAATCACGCAGATTCTGATCAGTGTGCAAACTATTGAAACAAACATGAACTGTGAAGCAATGCAGAGTTTGCCTTTATTTCTCAATATGCCTTTATGGCATTCACAAATTGTTTTGAACAGAAGCTAAGGAGACCTGCACAGAAAACCACTGCACAAAGGCACTCCTCAGAACATTCCTGACATATATGATGAAAAACTGTTTTGATCTTCACCGAGTAGATTGGATATCAAGCAAATTCAGAGACAGGAGGGTGCTCACAGCCTCTGGAGGGCAGGTACCTCAGGCAGAGAGGGAATATTTTATGTGCTGACATTTCACATCCACATTTATGAATAATGCCTCCCAACAGTTTCCCGTCAGGGTGGAAAACCCTTGGAAACAACACACGTTGCCAAAAGACGGTAAAAATGAAAAGATACTGACAGAGAGGTCAACAATGCATCTGTTAAGGATACACACACATATTATCATTATTATTATGTTTACACTTTTTCTCTCTCATAAACTGGATACTGATGCTGTCAACATTCTGGCTGTTGCCTGTGTTATTTGTGCATTTCACAACATTAATAAAAATTTGAAGGAAATAAAAAATCTATAAGGGACAAGTCGGTCAACATCTAACTGAGTTTATCCTTACTACAGTCAGATGCAGTCTCAGCCGGCTGTTCCAGGAACAGCTCAGCAGCGACCTCCTGAGGTACTGGAGAGGCGGTGCCCCACAGACAAACTGGCAGAGATAAGAGGTCACTGTGAACAATAGCTGCCCAAACCTAGTTACAGCAACTGTTTTCAACTGTTATATTAAACAACTTTTATTTTTCACCGTGCTGTACCCTTTGCTGCACAAAACAGTAACACTATGTACTTTACAAATTAATTACATGTGGATAAAACGGTAATTTATTCTTCATGCTTCACCACTGATGTGTCAAAGGATTTCTGAATAGGCTGAGCAAATGTTCCTTTAATCTGGTTTATAAAGTCAATCACTGAGGCAGAGAAGAGGCTAAAACAGATGGCGCTGAATATTCAAATTATATGCAATTACACACAAGCAGAATGCAACAAGCATAAAGTAAGACGTGTTTAGCTTTACGTGAATGCATTTATAGAAATTATTTAGTAAAGACATGCAGAACTACGAGGAGAGGGAGAAACACATCCAAGTCATTACTTTGGCTCACATAATCTGATACTTTAGCTCCTGATAAACAATATTTTTAACACCAGTGGTTTTGTTTGGATCCTTTCCATATTTCTCCACTAGAGGCCAGAAGTGAGCCACGGGGATGCCTGGGTGCAGCAAACAGCAGGGGAAGTGAGAAGATAAGGCAATGAAATGCATAAATAAACTACAAGAATTCATTGGAATATTTTAAATGACAGATTTTCAAATATTAAAGGTATGGTTAGGCTGGAATAAAAATGGCCATGGCTGTTTTTTTTATTATTACTTCCAGTAACTCTGATACTGACCAACAGTTTCCTGTTCAGCCAGTTGGTTCTGCTTGAACAGTAAGAAAAATACGCAAAGGGCATAAAGGGAAAGTAATGCTTGCTTTTTGACCTTTATACCATTTATGTATCTGATGGAGCACATTTTCTCTGCTCAGTTTCAGCAGCCCTGTGCTTCACACTCATTTAGTTCCATATAACCACAGAGAGGACCGACAGAGCTGAATTCTGACTATTAGGCTGTTTCTGCCTGCAGCTGAGGCCATGCTGTACCAACTATGGACTTCAGGTCTTCATAACTACAGCAAAACACACTGGTCCTTTCACTTTTAAATTACTATTAGCAAAGTAGGAAGCTTTTCTACATATTAAAATATCTGCCAAGTTAATAATTTAGTACATGTAGAACACACATGATCTCCAAGCGTTAAGGATAGAAATTGTTTATCTAAATGTCATAATTAACCTAAAACATGTCCCATAAATCAGTGGTCCCCAACCTTTTTATCACTGCGGACCGGTCAACGCCTGATAATTTTAATAATTGTACGTAGTTTGTTCATATTGTAAATATAATAATAAACGTGAATCCACTGTGTACTCGTATGCAACCTCATTAGCAGCTTCCTCGTAACATTGCGCCAACAACATAACATGAGTATAACATCAAAGTCTCTAGTAACATCCTCTCTGCCTCATAAATAAATTATTTTAAAAAATTCACGTGGAAAAATAAATAAATGACAAGAACCAGCAATTCCACATTTCTTTCTCTATTATCTAAATATACCTACACAACATTTTTATTTTTTTTTATATTAAACACTCCATGAATGTTATTTTTCAACAGCTGAAATAAAGTTGCCAGTTTGAACCGTCAGATAAGGCTCCTGCATGTTTGTGTGCCCGCTAAGACTCACAAGCTCTCCTCCTCCCCTCTCCCTCACCTCCCTCTGTTGGCGACCACAGCCCCAACACTCTCTGACTCTGGTCGCTATGGTAACATTTAAACATGCCTTCAAAATAAGATACAGATACACCACAAAAACGAATATAAAGTGCATGAAAATTTAACTCCCCATAACACTAAATCAATGGGAGCCCTGAGCTCGTTTCTCTGCAACAAGACGGTCCCATCTGGGGGTAATAGGAGACAATGACACCCGAAGTGTGTTGCTTATGTTCAGTCTACTCCGTTGTTTTGTTTTAGTTGCTGTCACTGCAG